GAAGGTGAGTTGTTTTGAATTCCGGCCAATGCGTGTTGATAGCTGACTTGCGATCCAGACCCAGAGGCAGATGTCAAGGCTTTGTTCATGGAAACAAAACGATGCATCCTGTACATCATCAGAGTCCAAACGGGTGCCAACTTATTGGAGATCATGGTCAAGCCACCTACCGACGAAGACGAGGAAAAATGGATGATGCTGGTGCGCGATGAACTGAGTGCAAACAACACCAGGCGAAGCGCATATGCGGAGGCCAACACGATGGTGGACATTGCTTCCATGAGTTACTCCGAACTCAAGCGGACGGCACTTGAGAATATATTGCACCTCGAACAGACTGGGAAGATCCGCCGTGACAACTACTACCAGGATCTCTTGAACGCGATCGCTATCGATATCCGAACCAAGCACCGCCGGAGAATTCAACGGGAGCGAGAGTTGGATAGCGCACGAATGACGCTTGCACGTCTCAATGACCAAGCTGTCTGGCTGGATCAACAGCTGAAGACGTACAATGACTATATCGAGCAGGCGATGATCACCCTGCAGAACAAGAAGGGGAAGAAGAGGTTCCTCATGCCTTTCACCAAGCAATGGGACCACCAACGTGAGCTCCAGAAATCGGGCAAGGTTTTCAAGTTTGGCTCTTACAAGTACTCGGCTCGGAACCTGGCCGACAAGGGTGTTCTTGTGCACTGGAAAGGATACACTGAGCGCCAATGGGATCGTGTCGACCTCACGATCTCGAGTAATGAAGTTGGTGTGTTTACTCTGGATGGCAGCAGTGGTCCGATGATGATTCCAGGTGCCAACGCCCAGGTACCATTGGATGATCTGCTCCAGGCCCAGTTCAACAACATGCAATTTCTTGACTTCTTCGACGGACAGCTCCGGGTGAACGTCAACCTTTTCTTGCATCTCATCATGAGGAAGTTCTACAATGAATAATCGAGGGCCTCGCAGCATGATGTTGTTTCTTATCTTTTCATTTTCTCTCTATATCCTCTACCCTCTTATGCTATTGTGATATCCCACCTCTTTTCCTGTTATAGCATGTTGAACATGACGAGAGCTCGGCGAGTTTGATGCACAGAGACGAGCTCCTTATTTTCGATGATTACCCCTCTTGTTCGTTGTTATGCCTTTTTTTTTTTTTTTTTTTACCTTTTTTTCTGCCACTTTGTCCTTCCTTGGATGATACAGAGTGCATGTCTATTCTATGATGATTTGATGATCTTATGTGTGTAGCTTTTATGCTAAGCTGTACGTATCGCATGTTTGACTGCCGTGGAAACAATAATGAGTCATGGTCAGTCCCGGTTCTTTAAAATGGGGTTCGGAAGTAGTTGTAAGTCCTACGCACAGGAGTGAGTACTCGTACAGAGTCCAAAGAGGATGACGCAGCGATTGTCGGGTCAGGGGCTGCCACGTGACGTCTTCGGGCCCAAACGGCGATCGATGCCAGCTGGAGTCGATGAACATGTCCTACTTTCCAATCCCCTCAAGAGACGCAGTTCACTTCCTTCTTACTGGCCAACCTTCCAGATCTCTTCCCTGTGCTTCTTGTCTGTTGTCTGTTACTTGATCGCGTGTTGAAAAACAGCTTTTCGTGCTCAAGGCGCCATGGATTTCTCGAGTCTCAAAGACCAGGTCAGCAACCTGACCTTGTATGATCTCAAGGCGGGTGTCCGCAAGGTCCAGAATGGTAGGTCTCCTTTGGGCGGATCCCGTTTCTAATGCGCCAGCTCTCTTGCTTGCTTGCCTGTAACACGTTCTCGTCGGGTTAAACAATGTAATTAACTGCTTTAGCTGTCATGAACTACACTGAAATGGAGGCCAAGGTCCGTCGCTCCTCTCCCCGGCACTTCCGCCCCGCTCTCCTGATCTCCGGACAAAGGCCGTGGTGGTGATGAGCACCGCACTTACACCAAGCAGGTTCGCGAAGCTACGAACAATGAGCCATGGGGTGCTTCCAACTCACTGATGCACGAAATTGCGAGCGGAACCCACAGCTAGTCAGTCGCCCCCCGGCCCCTGTCGCATTCATTGGTGAGAGTATAGTTGCTGATAAGACGCCGATGCACACAGTCAATTGCTTAATGAGATTATGCCTATGATTTACAAGCGCTTCACGGACAAGACCGCCGAGGAATGGCGACAGATCTACAAGGTCAGTTTTGCCCGCTGTCTTCGACAACTTTTTGTCAACATTTCCCCGGGGGGACCTGGCTGACGGTTGACTTCTTCGCGGACAACAGGCTCTCCAGCTTCTGGAATTCTTAGTCAAGAATGGTTCCGAGCGCGTCGTTGATGATGCGCGCTCCCACATGTCACTCCTCCGCATGCTTCGCCAATTCCACTTCATCGATCAGAACGGAAAGGACCAGGGTATTAACGTACGCAATCGATCGTCGGAATTGGTCAAGCTGCTCGGTGATGTCGACTTGATTCGCTCAGAGAGGAAGAAGGCGCGGACCAACAAGAACAAATTCGGCGGGTTTGAGGGAGGTTCACACATCAGCGGTGGGATGTCGAGCTCTGGCTCGGGCAGATATGGAGGCTTTGGCAGCGAAAGTCTGTCCTTCGGCGGATACAGTGGTGGTGTATATGGTGATGGCGGTGGCTTCGGGGGGAACACCGGCGATTTCAACGACTCTGGCAGTCGCTCGAACCGCTTCGATGAGTATGATGAGTACGATGAGGCCGATGCCGCTCCCACACGGCGCCGTGCAGCTAGCCCTCCACGCGCTCGTCCAGCGAAGCAACCGGAGCCTCCGAAACCCAAGGCGCCCGAGGCCGACCTATTCGATTTCAGCGAAGAGCCGACCACAACGACAGCGTCCACGTCGAAACAGCCCGCGGGAGCCAGTGCCAGCAGCGGTCTCGACATCCTCAACACCACCACCGGCGACGACGATGACTTCGACGACTTCCAATCTGCCACCCCGGCGCCTGCCCCGGCATCTTCCGCGCAGTTCTCCATCCCCGGCCCCGCATCCACCGTCAGCACGACCTCCAGCACGCAGTTCGCCGCGCCCAAGCCTGTATCCGGCACCCAAGGGTCGAACCTGAGCGGCATCGTCGGATTCACGTCAATGACGCCGACCCCGACCTCGAGCACCGTCGCCTCGCCCACCCTGTCCCAAAGCTCTCTGGCGCAACCGCACAAGCCCGCCCAAGCGCAACCCAGACCCAGCGGCTTCCAAGCCGCCACCCCCAATTACTTCACTTCCGTCTCCGCCGGCCAGCCTCCCCTCAGCGGCGGCGGCGGCAACATCGTCTCCGGCCACCGGCCTGGCATGCCCTCGACCTCCTCCTTCACCTCCACCACGACCACCGCCTCCGCCGGATCCAAGCCCACCGCCGCAGCCGCCGCCTCCAAACCCTCCGGCGGCGACGCCTTCGGATCCATCTGGTCCTCCGCCAGCGCCAGCGCCGGTCTCGCAAAGGCCAACGCCAACGCCAGCCGCGGGCCTAACCTCGCCAGCATGGCCAAGGAGAAAGCCAGCGCTGGGATCTGGGGCGCCCCCGCCACGAGCAATGTGACCTCGCCATCGCAGAGTCAGTACGGCGGTGGCGCAAAGTCGACGGGTGGTACTTCGGCGTTTGATGATTTGCTAGGCTAGACGGGATGATTACTGCCTTTTTTTTTTTTTTTCTCTTTCTTTTCTTCTACTATCTTCTTTCTTGGGCCAATGTTATACGTTATACCGTAGTACGATTGCTTTTATTTTCTCCCTTCTTTCCTTTGTTCTGGAAAAAAATCATCTCGAGAGATTTTCGCATTTTCTGTTTTTTTCTTCGTGTTGTCGCTTACAAAATAGCAAGCATTTTTCTTCTTCTTTTCTGCTCTATTTCTTGTGGTATCCTGTTTGTGTCTATACTTGGGAGATACTTATGTTGCTTTCGCTTTGCTTCTGTTGCTTAGATGATGATTCGGTAGGGGAGGGGGTCAGATATAGGAAAGCAATGGATGATGAATGTTGGCTAGCCTTTCAAGTTGCGCTTTGCTTTGCGGCTGGTGTGTTGTGTCCGTAGACTTTAAAAGGGCTTCTCACCCATGCAATTGATGTACTGTACATACATCTATCTTCCTGCTTATGCGGGGGAGTTAGATATAGTCCCGAATCAAGTCCGTGGATCTTGTACCGTATACATCCACAATGGCCAGGGGTACATACAGAGCTAGATTGCCGCGGTGGTGTATAGTAACGCAGTACATCTACCGGGTGTACTGGCCCCCCCCGCCCCCAAGCGGGACGCGATAATGAATAGATGTGGCTACTACACTAATCATGTGTCCATTTTTCTTCTTTCTAGTTTGAGAAGAGGATACATAAAGAAGAGAAAACCAAGCCTCGTATGCCGGTTCATACACACAGACACTCCTTTATCATTGGTGGAGAGATATAACACTACAGTTGTCCGTGGACAGAATCAGAATAGACAGAAGATAGAAACAAGGTATGACGGAATTTCCCTCCCACGCTAAAAAAGAAAACTTTATTGCGAAACTCAACTGAAGGAAAACATCAGGGTAGTCGGAAAAAAGAAAAGCTAAGGAGGAAAAAAAATTGATATCATAATACCCCATGTATGAATTGTACCGTATGCGTTGCGTGTGGCGTGTGTGGGAAATGTTGTTTCACCCAAGGCTAGCGGAAGTGGAAGAGGAAAAGAAGAAAAATATATTTGAGATCACAAAAGTTCCAGCCGGGGAACGAAGAACAATAATATAGCGTAGTAGGTAATGATATGGGGGGTGTCAATAAGTAAAAGATTGGGAAACAGATATGCAGGATGAATGCAATTATGGACGACCAGCTTTCTTTCTTTCTCTTTCTTGTTCGCTCCGTCTCTTATGGCATGGCCAGGTTTGACTGGGGCCGGGATGGAGGGTAAAGCCAGAAAGTGGTCTTGGGGGGATATGTTTGGGAGGCCGTTTCTCTTGATACCGTAACTTGGCCAGGTACGTCGACAGGCAGGTAGGGAGGATAACCGGGTTAGAAGGGGGGGGCATGTACAGTGGGGGAATTAATTTTAACAAGCCTGAATGTGACTGTTCTTCTCGGTCGGAACGTCAATACCCTGCTTTTCTGATGCGCTCAGATGTGACAGGTTCGAATCAGTGTTGCCACCGCTAAGCGACGATGACTTGGGAGGAGCACCTTCTTCCCCTTTCTCTCCGTTCATGGCAGCTTCACGAGTTGCGTCCGGCGGGTCTTGTTGCTGGGCCTGTTGCTCGGTCGTGGCAGATGGTATCGTCTGTTGATGCGAGCTACTATTCGAGACCGGATCATGGTACGTATGCTGATGACCCTCGTCGTCATCTTCCGGATCGGGCTCGCCGTTCAACGACGTCAACCCGCCTTCAATATCACGGAGCAGCCGGACGAACTCCTCAGGAACCAGTCCACTCTCGCCCGTCCGGGGATCCTCCGCTACCAGCCAGCCCTGACCGTGCCGGTATGACACGAAGATTACTTGCCCCTCGGTTAGAGGCAGCTCATTCTCGTGCTCGCGTGTGAAATCAAAGAGCGCAACCGCCTTGCCGTGCATCTCTTCATCCGGACATCCCACCGCAAATTGAAAATCACGCGAATACCGATGTGTTTCATAATCGTCCTCGGATTCGAAGTCACCCTCGTGCCCATAGGACTGATCATTGCCGTAATCGCCCGCTCGGGAAAACCGGCTTTCGTTAGCTGGATAGGTGACATACTCGCCCCCGGGGCCATCGTCCATATCATCGTCGTCGTCATCATTCACATAGTAAGTCTCGCTGCCATCCGGGTTCATGCTGACGAGCGTGCCCCGTTCGGCGTCATTCTCATAATACACACTTCCGTGTGCACGATTGAACTTCCGGCTCTTGCGCCCATCAGAATCGGTGCCAGTGGACTTGTTCTTCCGGTGATGGGGTGTGGAGAAAACTGGACTGTGTAGGTCTTCGTCTTCGCTGTATGGCGGGCCATCGCCAAAGGACATGGCAGGCAGCTGCTGATGCGCGTAACTGTGATCAGTGCTCCAGGGGCCCATAGACCACTGACCACGCGAACTATCCCACGGAGCCGGAGGGTCAGACAGGCGTCGTGGCTCACTGGCCGGGGTGGATGCTACGGATGCCCGAGGAGGCAGCGGACCATAATGGAGGGGATGTATCGGTGGGTATGCAAAATCGCGCACCAGAGCGTATGACAGACTGGAATGGAAGATGGGAAAGACATGTGACCCGGGCCGCGACCGGTTGTGTGAAGCAAGCGAGACATTCGAATGTGTTGACAGGCGCTCACGGGCGTATGAGGAAGAGCGTTGGCGGCCCGGCCGCTTAGCTGAAGCATCCGTCACTATCGGAGGCAGGACCGTGAGGTTCGCAGAAGACGCCGCCTGCTGCGGCTGAGAAGATGATGCCGCAGAAGCCATGGCTATGAAATGCTGGTCTTATGTGGAGACGATCCTGCGCGCGAGAATTGTGATTGCGTGTCGAGAATGTCGTGTGAAGTGATGTCAAGTCGGATGTTATAACCCAGGGAGGAAATGAAGGGGATGCTCAAAAGACCGGTTCGCCCTAGCTTTGCATCGCGATCGCCCGCCCACTGAAGTTCAATTACCAGCCTGCGTCCGAAGAACGTCTCTTGATGTCGACCCGATCAGGCAGGGAACTGGTCGAGAAGCGTGCGGACCGAATTGGTGGGAAGGGCAGGAACTCCTTGCGTATAAGCACGATGCAAATCGAGTTGGTGGAGGAGGCTGCGCCGAGCAGGATTGTCCTAATTCGAAACCTCGGAGCTGAGCAAGCGACGAACGATGGGGTCCTAGGCGCCAGAGAGGCGAGGTGGTGTCAATCGGGTTACTGGAAGGTCCAGTGAGAGTCGGCGGCGCAGGGCAGACAAGGCGCGGCTATCAATCGCAGAATACCACAGCGATCTTCACAATGCAGACTGCTCCCCTCTCACATAAGCGATAGGAAATTAATTGGTCACAATAGTGAAGAGGTTGTTCAGGCCAGACGACTGGGACGAGACAAGAAATTCGAGGACAGGCGCCCAGGGTTGGGAAGGTTGTAAGGAAGCAGAGTGGCAGGAAGCTTTTTCGACCGGGCTTGGTGTCTCCGTGTCCCGCGCTTGACAGTCGAGTGGATTGGATGGTGGAGGGAGGGTAGAACTGGGGATGCTAAATTTAGCAACGAGGGCAGGGAGAAAAAACGCCACTTTTAGAGACAGCGATTACTAAAACCCATGAGACGCTGGAGGGGAAAGCCAAAGAATTCTAGGCGAGAACCGGGGGGGGGGGGGGGGAATGAGGGAGAAGGAGGGGAGGGAAAGAGAGGAGAGAAGAGGAGAGGAGGGGAAAAGTGGGCGCTTGTAGATGACAGCACCTGCAGGACAAGAAAGCAGAAAGTAGAAACACACAGACTGAGACTGACAGACAGAAGGATAAGAAAGAACACTAACTAACTTGAAGGATGGTGGAGCGAGGTGAGGGCGAAGAAGGGCAGGCAGAGAGGCCAGCGTCGGAGATTACCTTGCCTAGTGTGTAGTTTTAGTTAGTCGATGCGTTAATGTGTTAAGGATCACCGAGGCGCAGTTCCGGGGAGGGGAGGGGGAGAAATGTACGGAGTAGGTTGGGAAGACTCACGGGTCTTTTTCCGCCCTCTGCTTTCTCAAGAATCAATCAATTAACCAATCAATCAATCAGGGGGGAAAAAGAGGACTTCATGCAGACAAGCCACTCGATCTATCTTTTGGCAACATTGCCGCGCGGTTGATCTGGGACAATCAATTCATGATAAGTTAATCCGGAGAGAGTGAAGACTCGCCTGGAATGCACGTGACAGTCCACGCGTGGCTTAGTGTGTTTCAGGCGACGATGCCTCAGGCGATCCCTGTTTGGGATACACTGCCTCAGGTTTCATCCTTGCTTCCTTTCCTTCTTTCCTTCCTCCTTTGAATACATTCAGAGTACCTGCCTGCCTACATACCACCACCACCACCACCACCACCACCACTGCTACAGCCATATCTACACATGCATAGCCAGCACATCCAACTCAACGCCCCCTACAGAAAGGCCAAGTTCTAGCGGTATGTTAGCGTACGCCAGCGGGAATTCTTGGCGTTTCTTCATCCCACTCTCCTCTACGCCAGACTAAGTACCCACGGGAATACATTCTTGTACGAATTTATTTGAGAAGGAAATTCTCAAAGAGACAAACTTTTTGAATGTTAAAATGTCTATTGATCCAATCAAGGAAACTAAAAGAAAATGCATCAAACGATCGTCATCGTACTGCTCAGCCAGCCGAGCAGCAGAAAGACTAAAGAAAGAATGACCTTCCACAGGTCACAAAATTGTCCGATCTGCCATGACCTTTAGAGCGTCTCATGCTCGCCTCGATCACCCTCTTCTCCCGGAATATGCAAGGGAGAGCACACTTGTGCAAACGCAAGGCTCCGAGTCAAGAATAGAAACACTCAAACCGGTGTACTGCTTGGATAGATGGTCTTATAGATCGTCAAGAAAGTGGTCTTGGAGGCTGGCTCGGACGGCGTGCAGGCTGGCGTGGACGATGCGGAGGCTGGCGTTGTCGAGGACGGCGATGGCACAGGCTGGCTGGATTCACCACCACCCACGGCTGGACGAGAGCCCATGATCTCAGCAAATTGCGATGGGATCGAGGCCTTATCCAAAGGTTGGTCTTCCACATAGTCCGCAGCCCCAGCCTTGACGTACGTATGCGTCGCAGCAGTAGCAGCATTGTCCACAACATCCACGTCGATGCAGGTGGTATAGATCTCCTGCTTTCCGTTGGGCAGCGCTTCCGTCACACCAGGCGCAGTCGGCCAGTCCCACACCCAATACAGAGTATACGGCTTGCCGGACGGCGCATTCGCTGGGAGCGCGATATCCTGCTGACACCACAGATCGGCGCCCATGGTCTGGTCGGCCACGTGAGGAAACTCGGCCTGGCGATGCTCGGAGATATTCCCCGAGTTGATCTGGTAGCACCGGCCGTCATCGAAGTTCTGCTCCGACAGCAGCACGCCGCGCCGGTCGCCTCCCGTGCCGTCGCGGTTCCAGACGCGGTGGACGTCCAGGAGATTCTCGTCTGCCTTGGGCTCGGTGGTCCCGTACACGTAGACCGTGCCGCGGTTCGCGGGCTTCCCCGGCTGCGTCCCGGGGAGGGTCACATGGCCGTTCTCCTGAAAACGGAGAGCGATGGCCGCGCCCGCGCTGGCCTGCAGGCGGGGGTTTCCTTCGGTCTGTTGGTACATCTGCTGGCTGTCCTTGCACATCTTGTCGGTGGGAAGGATCTCGCTTTGATTGGCCCGGCCGTCCGGGGGGATGAGATACGTCATGTCGGTATCGCTGAAGCCAGCGGCGGTCCGCTGGACGTTGCCGCGGGGGTAGCCAGTCGCTCCGACAAAGGTGCCATTTGGCGCGATGACCGTCAGTTGTTCCACCCAGGAGTGTGCGTTCGCAGTTGACAAGCCCAGGGCGAGCAGGAGCCCCCCCAATCCCGTGCCACGGATGAAGAGCATGATTGCGTCTTTTTCAAACTGTGGTGATTCCTAAACACTCCGTTGAATCGTTGTTCGTGTGAGGAATCGTGAGTTGAGACACCGGCCAGCGGAGTTGTCTATTAAGAAATTTGTGGTGGTTGGTTTCTGTGGGTGGTCAGTGGATGCAATGGTGGTTTGTAGAAGGCAGGGGTGATTCATACATAATTTATAGCCTCATTGTGACAAGAAGGGCCTTGTGTATCTTCTCTTGTGATCTATTTTGCTGGAGTGTTCCACTCAAAGACAATGGCCATTTAGCGAAGAATCCCAACGTACAATGAATCAAACACAAAGGAAAGAGGAGTCATTAGGTGTTAACAATGACATTGAAGGAGAATGCCCATTCCAGATATTGTTGCCCCTCTGGGGCCTTATGATCAAATTCACCTCCCAAAAGAAATTAGGAGTCAAAGCAGATGTCCAATATAATCCAGTCGTTTGAAACAAAAGAGAATGAGGAAACTCGGCCAAGCTGCGTCAGTCATGAGAGGCTCGTTTCTCTAGGCGCTACGGGACAATGCAACAACATGATCATGACTGGAATAGATCCTTGATGAACATCGTAGGACCAATCGATCCCCTTGCAAGCGCTACCAAGCTTTTTGGCCCTGGGTGATCCGGAGAAAGGCGACAGATATGATTCGTCTTCAAGTCTAGCGCGGAAGGGGGGGGGGGGAAGGGAATGGCATGAAGAAGAAGAACCTTGAAGATCAGATCGGTCAGGTATTGATGGGATTTGCGACACTACTGAGGTCTGAAATTAGCAACGGCGCCTAACCTGGGCTGGAATATAATCTCATTGACAGGCACTCACTCGCCCTCACGGATGGACCCGTTGTTGCAGTTTTGCACACGACGCAGTCCTTTGATCTTTGATCCTGCCCTATTCGCTGCACTCAAGCAGCTAGGGTTGTTTATTTTGGGTAGCTGGCTAGTAGCGTTGTACCCCCCAATCTATGAGGTACTGTCTAGCTTGCTGGAAGCGTGGGTTTGGCGCGCATTGGTTTTCAGCAACCAGCTGGGAAGACATTCACCCAGCCAGGCGTTGTTGCAGGTTGATGTTTTAGGCGCCTGAGGAGGGAGTGTTGAAACATGGCGGCGTCCCGCCCTTGCCAGCCCTAGCAGATTCCAGGGCAGGACGGTTGGGACAGAAAAATCTAAAAAGCAGAAACTTATCCGGGCATGACTGGGAGGTTCTGTTAGCTATGTGCATGAAGCCTGAATAGTCTCGCTGAAGAATACTTCCTATGAGAACTGAGAGTACCATCTATGACTGTGAAGTGCAAGATGCGGATAAAAAGGGTTTGTAGCACTGCGGCTCATGCATGGCACTGACAACAAACCCCTTCTAGATCCTCCCGTCCGCTCAATGCGCTACGTTAAGTACCTAGTTAACTACCTAAATTATACCTATAGAAGTGCACTCAAGCACTCCGTACAGACAGTCTTGTACCTACTGGACGTGACACACCTCATTGACAGACTTCTGGAAAATCTACCTGTCTGGCCAAGGGGCTGAAATACTCGGGTCGAGCAAGTCACCAACTCACCGACCTCACGATGCTCTTCCTTGGCATTGAAGAGGCCCCCCCCACTCCACCTTCGTCTCGTCTCTGGATCAAACAAATTCGCAGCGTCGCCGTGGTTCCATCGCCCAACTAAGGTACTGAGTACCCATCAATTGATTATCGGTTCTCAGGGGAAGACCCGACCCCCGAGCACACAACCACCGTGCATCCAGCATTGCGAGAGCAACATGAAAGTTACTCATGTGATGACATTAGGTCAACAACTCAAACCACCATAAGTTACTGCTTGAGAAGATTAAACAGTATCTAACGACTTTGTTCCATGATCTCATCCGGGTCCAAGCTTGTTACGTGTCAAGAGTGCCAGACCCGCAGCTGAACTGGTTTTTTTTTTCCCTGCCGATTTCCGGACTATCTACCGGGGGAGTTTTTGTTTTCTTTTTTTTTTCTCTGTTGCCTGAGAGGGGGGGGAAGAACAACCTTGCTCGGGTTTGCAATATGTTCTGACGGTTAGCATACAACAATGTTTATGACAGAACATTTTCTTTTTTTTCTGCCACAATTTCACCAAAGCGCACAGAGGAATTTAGGCCAGGCCTAAACCCAAAGGAACCGTATGTGAGACAAAATGGGGTACCCTTCCCCCCCCCTCTCTTCGCCAGAGAGATGAAGAGATTGATTAGATGAAAAAAGGGTGGGTAGGCTGTGTTATCTCCGATGAATCGCAGCTCTTCAGTGGCCACCGACGGTCCCGGTTTCCACCATTCTATCCCCACCCCGGCAGAATGAGGGAATATCGGGCTACGGATGCAGTCTTGGGATTTTTATCAGATGGAGGGGTTAGTTCTACTACGGCTTTCCAGAGCGGGATGCCAATTGACCAAACCACCAAAAGGGCGGATGGGGAGGGGGGGAGGGACCTTGGAATTACCTAACGCATTGAATAATATTGCTACGACTAGACTGGACTGTTTGTGTGTGTGTGTGTGTGTGTGTGTGTAATTGCTCTCTGCCGGACCAGGATTGCCCTTGCCACCATTACGACCAACAAGACCTGGAGACTGAATGCATGCGGTGTTGTACGCTGGCATGGATGATCGGAGAGATGATCTGGTGGTGGTAGTGGCAGTGTTTGCTGCTGAACTTCTTGAAGTCATCATGATCAGACCAACTGGTCCATGGTTAGTAGGTATCACCAACCAGTACCACAATCCGTATCCTCGTAGGACGTGGAATCTGTCTCTGATGACGTTTGTGATACCGATGTGTTTCGAGGTGTTCAGCTTCACGCGGACACCAAAAAGCTCTTCCCCAATCTCTTACATTCCGACCGCTTGGCCAACGACGGCAGAGTGCAGGAAAGCCGAAATCTAGAAAGAGGTTGGCCTGACATGCGGGTCGCTGTTGGGCCCGTATGTCGCTGCTTGGCTAAACTAACTGAAGTGTTTGGATTCCACGAGAGATTAATGCCGTCTTACTACGAGTACTGACTACGGAGTGCCTCGTTTGGTCTGCCGACCAGTAGAGAAGTGGCTCTCAGGGCTGAGCAGAGATCCAATGATGGGCTATACTATACCCGTCTAACGGAGCTGGCCACATGGATACCCTTTCCTTCG